AGTGGCAGGGGTCCAAATCTTAAGAGCATCCTACCTAATACCAGTGCTTCATGTGGTCACTAAAGGAAGGGAATATACATTTTGATATAAGAATAAAGGTGGAATTTGAATTAAAAATTGATATCTAAAGATGTCAGCATAAAATCAAGCAAACACACGTAACAGTCCTCCCCCCCAAACAAACAAACAAAAAACAATTAAACTTTTGTTGTCTTTCAGTCTTGGCCTGAGTATGAAGATGTACATAACAAGATGCTTGAACTTGCAGCATTTTTAGACTTGCCTCGCTTTCCAGCTATAACTGACAGCTGCTTTCTTCATCCAGACATGTTGTGCATAAAGTATTTGATGGAAGCCAACTTACCTGGTAAATACTTACTGGAAAATAATTTTGTTTGGTACACTCTAAACTCTTCTCAGTCTCCATCCAATAAATTATATATCCTGATGTTACAGTTTTTCCCCTTCACCTTCTAAGAGTAAGTTTACAGTCATATTTGGGGTTGACTCTTGCAGTCTTTTGCAACTCATGTAAGTCACAAAGGATATTCCTTCCTAGTTCTACCTTACCCTGTGGCCTGCTGCTTTTTCCTACATGCCTCTTAGAAATCCATCTGAAGTGTACTGTTCCCTCCTTCTGTGCCCGGCTCTAATTATAGACAGGAGACAAGGGTGCAGAATGGCTGGAAATCAGGAACAGATTGTCTTCCTGTGCTTGTAACTTGCGGTGCCCAGGTAAGCTCTGAATAGGTTGCAGGGAGGGCCAGACCAGAAGGCACACAAAAACTAGGGCTTTAAAGTTTAGAAGAGCTTCTAGGATCAGGCTGAACTGCCAGGAGGGGCAGGAGAAGTGTGTGAATGTAAGGGGTTTTAGTGCAGGTGATGAGTTGAGTTGGGGCTTGAGGGTGTCATTGAAGTTGATTATAGTACTACAGAGAAACCCTAAGATCCTGTGTATTTAGAGGGGTGTAGGTTGTAGCTGTGTTGGTCTAAGGACATAGGCAGACAAGGTTCTTTGCGTGAATCTGATATCTTTTATTAGACCAACTTAAATAGTTGGAAAACAATTATTAAGCAAGCTTTCGGGTTCAAAAACCCTTAGTCAGGCTAAGGAAGTTTCAGCAGTTGGTGTGTGCTCTTCCTGGATGGAATGAAAAGTAAAGAATCATGGACTAAATATAGACATTAGATTTATGACACATTATAACCTGCCTATCATCTGACTCCCTAGGTATCTCTCCGCTATTCATCCCCCTTTTCTCTCTTCTCCCCCACCCAGCCGGTCTCTCACCCGTTGACTCCTCAATCTACATCTTCACTGACTGCCTGTCTTGTATGCAGACCAGCCCAGCCTCTGGCTTCTTTACTTTTCGTTCCATCCAGGAAGAGCACACACTGACTGCTGAAATTTCCTCAGCCTGATGAAGGGGTTTTGAACCCAAAAACTTGCTTAAATTGTTTTTTTCCAACTATTTAAGTTGGTCTAATAAAA